GGATATTAAATTTGAGGAAGAAATAGAGGTTTTGGACTTAGGTTTGAGCTTTGCAAAAAATACAGAGTCCAATACTGATGAGGTTTGTTGAAACAACAATGTGTCAAGTATGTGTAAAAGACGTTTTTGTATAATGACAACTTTTTGAACTACGGCGATTCATTAGAGACAATTGCTTCTCAATGCAGGTGGTTGAGAATAGCAAAGGTGCAGATTTTGTTGCAGAAGAAGAGGAGCCAAAATTGGCAAAGACTGTGGAAGACATCAAGTTGAATTCTCCTAAGAATAGGGAGTCCAATACCAATGAGGTCGTCAAATCAAGACATCTGAACATGGAGGCAACAAAATTGTCACTATCCAAAGATGTTGAGGAGCTAAAGTCTGTGGAAGATGTCGAGTTGAATTCTCCTAAGAATAGAGAGTCCAATGAGGTTGTCAAATCAAAACATCTGAACATGGAGACCACAAAATTGTCACTATCCAAAGATGTTGAAGAGCTAAAGTCTAAGATAAATTTACTGGAATCTCATATAATTGAGGTTAGTCTTCTTGTACTAGATTCTGGTACTCTACTACTCGAGTATTTGGTTATGCACTAACACCACATCCTTCAATATCTATTGGACTGGTATTGACTTGTCAGTAAGCAACTGTTGAAGTAGCCTGCAGAATTCCCTCCCCCAAAACGTTGGTGCTGAATAACAATGATACTCTAGCAATCTTGTGTCCTAGCATTTCTTTATGAAACAAAGAGTTGGAGCTTGATGAAAATTTCCTTACAGGCTGAACACATAATTGCGAAGTTTAAAGAAGAGAAGCGAAGTACCATCAAAGACATGGAAATTCTGAAACAAGAATTGGTTAGTGACTGTATCTCTCTATGCTGTCTCTCTTGCTTTGTACTCTTCGTGGTGTATCTTGTGCTTTTCTCTAACAAATTGCTCTGCGATTATCCTAATATCTCTGTAAGGAAAGCAAGATAATGAGCCTTCTTTCAGGTTGAGCGAGTAATAATTTCTATCGCTTTGATTTTTTTTTTCAGTTAAAAAGGGTGTTACCAGATTAATGAGGAGTTCATGTTGTTGATTTTCTTACAGCTAACTGACAGGAATTGGAGACTGCAGAACTTTTTCACCTCCTAAAACTAATTTGTTTAATAATCAAGTTAAACGAGTTATAATTCCTATCGGTTTGTTTTCTTTATAGTTAAAAGGGTGTTACCAGGTTAATGAGGAGTTCGTTGTTGTTGATTTTCTTACTTCTAACTGACAACAACTGCAACTTTTTCACCTCCTAAACTCAATATTTAAATAATCAAGTTGAACGGGTAATAATTCCTATTGGTTTGATTTCTTTACAGTTAAAAGGGTGTTACCAGGTTAATGAGGAGTTCGTTGTTGTTAATTTTCTTACTGCTAACTGACCATTATTGGGAACTACAAAACTTTTTCACCTCCTAAACTCAATTATTAATAATCAAGAATGTGTTGAGTGATAAGTTTAATCAAGGCCATTTACGTGGATAAAGAAGTTTGATGAAGCAGTTTGGATGCTGATCCTATGTACATATTAACAAAGAAATGAATGGCCCTAGCAGAGTTGCTTTAGAATCTGAGGCGTTGTCAATCTTGTGCTTCAGGCAGAAGTGCAACTTCTCTTGAAGAGTTTTAGATCCATTTTATGCTATTTAAGGGTATGTTGGCTTTGTTCTTTAGAAAATCGGAAGTATGCTCCTTTCTATTACAATGGAGTAGAGTCCTGCTAGAGTTTGTTGTCTCTCGAATCTCAAAGAATTCAGCACTTATCCATTTCAAGCCTAATCAGAGAAGAATTTCGCCTTAAGTTCTACATTTTATCCCTTGCTTTCTGAGTTGAGGGGTAGTTTATGTCCTCAGAAAGAACAAATTTTTCCAATCGTTCGCAATGAAGAACTTCATAGAGACAATTGATTTTGTAGACCATAAATTAGTTTCCTCCTAATGAAACGATAAAACTCGTTGGCTATTCTGCTACCATGCAACTAGATGCTGCATATGTCTAGGATAATCACTTTCTCAGGTACTAACAATGATGATTGGAATGTTTTTGATAAATATTACATGTAGCTAAAGTGACTTCATAACAGGTTGAAGCCCCATTGAAATAATCAGACTTTTTCTGTGCTGTTTCTTTATTATGAAGCGAAATAGTTTCACCTAATTCTTCTGCATACGAACGTGGGATCACATTGACCTCTAAGGCTGTGTCTAATTCTAAAATTTTGAACCTGTGATTTCTTACAGGCATTACTAAGGACGAACAGTGTTGGAAGGAGAGCTCAAGTCGGTTTTCCCCCGTTATTCCTTTGCATGGTTGCATTGATTTGTCTCACCGTTGGGTATCTTCTACGTGCTTAACAAGGATTTTGTCTGGCTTTTTTGCTATATTGTAACTGTTTAGGAACTTACTGTATCTTCAGCATATTAACATTGCCTTTTCTTTTAGTCGTCAACCTAACGAGCTTGTGAAAATGGTGGATGTATGTAGATGGAATTCATAATGAAAAAGAATGTGTCAATAAAGAGTTACTAATAGTTATGTACCCTGGAAGCACCTTGCTGGAGCTGTCGATAATGTCAATCGTGTTGGTCTAATATTTCCTGCTCATTTCTTAACTTCGTATTTTCATCCCATTAATAACTAGAAATACCTTGCCATGCCCAAAAATGTACGTATTTCTTTTTGTTTTCCACATAGTTAATACGTATGGTGTATGAAAAATTAAACTGGCAACAATGACTGAAACTATATGAATTTGAACTTTTGATGTGTGATTCGAGTTGTGGCCTTTGGCCACTGAACAATCTCCTTGAGGATTTTCTTTTTTATACCCCGGTAGGTCCGTCATCGATAAAATGGCAGTAGCTTATGAGAAATAAATGATGTTGAACTGAGCACTAGTTCAAAATCGTTAAGATCTGTACAGAGGAAGTCTCACACACATTAAGTCCTATTTCAGCTCTCATGGTTATTCTTTCCTCTGTCCTTCTCTGATCTTTTAACATAGTAGAATTTTTTTTTTAAAAAAAACTGACGAGAAAATTCATGTAAGTTGGTGGCCGAACATAGCATGTTAAAAGAGACTAAGTTAGCAGACCTATCGATATGCAGTTTGCTGATTGTATTCTAGAGATAATATAAATGTTCACTAGCCTTCGAAGTCATTGTTGATTACTAAGCCATTGCAAGCCATCACTTCCATACCACCAAAAGTTGTGGTGGAGTAGCAAGTGCTCTTCCACATATTTCAAATTTAGCATAGAGTATGACGCTGTTTACACCCAACATCGGATTTCTTGCTACGAATCCAAATTTATAGAAAAGTGGGTACCGAACACCGATGAGAAAGCCAAAAAAAAGAAAAGAAAGATCACTTCCATAAAACACACTAAAAGTATGCTTGATCATCTTTTCGAGTTTTGGGTATGGAATCGTCTTTGACAACGCGTTTACCCAAAAGTGGGGCTTCTCTGCGCGAATTCAGATTAATCACAAAGTAGGTATCATACACCTAACGGGAAACCAAAAAAGTCACTTCCTTAAAATACACTAAAATTTCAGGGGTTGTGATAGAAGGAGATGTGGCACTTTCCAAAGGGGAAATCAGACTAGGTTGTCACTGTTCTAGAATAGGAAGCGTAGCTGGTACGTTGAACCATGTAATGTCAACGATGAAAGATAGCCTTAAAGTGAGGGCCTCAAAGATAGTATTTCTCAACTGTCGATCAACGTGACAATCATGCCTGCTTGACAAAGTCTTTTTCATTCCTAATAAACGAAAAAGGATTTCTGGTGACACGAAAGCTGTGCTTGGCGCTCTCTTTCCTATTCCACTGAGCTAAGTGGTGTTTCCCTTTCTTGCTGGATGACTACTATGGGAAAAAATGACGATTACTCTCAGTCTCTGATCAATCCGTGCTGATGCTAGAAGAGCTATTCTTGATGCCCATCCGAAAGAGACGAGGAAGACTAACCGCCATCCTACTCGAACCTACCAAGGATTTCTCCATTCCCATGGCTCGAAATCGAAACCTCTGGTAAAGGTGGAGCAGTCTCATCTACTGCACCACATCCGTTGGTGGTTTCCATCTTTAGTTGTCTTCAACTTGTGGCCGAAAACAGCAAGGTATAACTAAATAAAACTTACCCACATCCCGTGTCACATCCGATCTGTATATCAAACCAATGAATACAAGACATGTATATACACACTATGATATGTATTATAACCCCCAATAGCAAACTAGAAAAATTAAGATTACCAAACGGAATTTTGTTCTTCATCTGTCATGTCACTCTTTGGATTCTGCATTTATTCTTATCATGTTCTTTGTGATGACCCGAAACCTTGAAATTTGATTTTTGAGGACAAAATGATAATTCGACTGAACCCGTAGGTTCGCGCTGTCATGTATGACTGCAGAAAACAATCGCAGCAGTCACCAGTGCTGTCCCTTACCTCAAAAGTAGCTTGATGCCGAACCACTCCCAAGGCGAATAATGCCCTAGGGGCCGACCCGACACCAACAGTCCGAGACGCTTCTCTGTTTACTGCTACCAATCACAAATAATTTATAGCAAGGACAAGGACTATTAGCTCAGGATAAACAAAGCTAAAGAAGAGAAAATCTTGAACAGCGTTAGCGCTAGTGACTTCTTGACCTATCATATAAACATGAACTATTGCAAGCATGTACAAACTTCGGAATTTCATCTAATGACACCTCAATGTTTTTTCCAAATTGCAAGTAGTTCTTGCAGACGTGATCGTTTTTAGTCATTGAAAATGCTATCATGATCCTAGTCAGATGCACTTGGCTCAACTACATTGCGAGTATTTCTTCTTCCGAAAATGCTTGTGTACTTGAGTGATAAAGTGGTATGAGGAAGAGATTGATCTCACGCACGGAACTGAGAACTTTTTAAAATAAGTTAGAAAGATATTTTAAACAGTATTGCACTGACGAAGCTCAACAGGAATTTGGTATCAGTCTCTTCTCCACAATGGGAACGTTACAACCATGTGAAATCTACATATCAAAAACAAATCTCTAACCTGTAGGAAATTTTACAAGATAATTAAGCTAACTATGCCACAAAGCTTACAGAGTATACACCTATTTGGTGTTCTGATAAATTATCAAAAAAGAAAAAATTGTAAGGGAGAAAACCTCTAGGAATTCCCCACAGAAATTGTCAGCAATGACCAAAAGCGAGAACTGAGCTGAAAACATGATCACCAAAATGAATATACTTATTTGCAACCTATAAACTAGACAACCCCTTTTTAACCACATGAAAACACTCAAAAGATATTGACATTAAACAAAACCTCAAACCCAAAAGCTGCCACCTTCCCTCTCCAAGGCCGAAACGTACAATCTGCATCTCCATCAGTGCGGTTAATGATCACTTGGTTCAGTCGGTGATCCTGGAACAAAAGGTACAAAACCTCGTCCACCGAAAACGGGACGCATGAATGCATTGTCAAATTTTCTCCAGTAACGATGGACAGTGTGAGATGGGGTTGATAGGAGCATCCGCAAACTGTTGGGACGGGGTATATGTTGGCCCAGATCAGCTTCTGAGTCTTGTGCACTCTCAAGAAGTGGCACAATGAAGGATTTTGGGGTCGTTGGTTCAGAAGAGATCATTCTGGTCAAGTGTTTTGGTGAGGGTAGCATAAATCTAATTAAAGGTTTTGTCATCAACCCAAACACCTGTAAGGGCCAAAAACAGTACGTTAAAAATCCTTCTAAATGTTTCGCTTTTCCTCAGTCTTTCTTTTTTTTTTTTCCCCGAAATCTTTCTAGTTGAAAGAATGAGATCCTAGAGAAGTCATTACTTGGATGAATCATTTGAATCAGGGAAAGCAGTTATTCTCCACAAAATGTTTATTATCTGGTTAACTAAAACCATTTATGATATATAAATCACTCTATGCTGCTACAGATTGCCACACAGGCTATGCTTCCAAGCCTATATCCTAGACGCATAACCCGTCAAACCATGAATTATAGCAGGAAAACACGGGTTAGAAAGTATCAGACAAGTGCTAGAGGAATGTTGCCACTCTGTTTGGTTCAAGTTTTTTGTTTGAAAGCAGGTCATTGAAGTCCCAGAAAAAATTTGTGATGCTCAGTTTCTTATTGGGACCGTGAAGGCGCAAATTTTGGTGTAATGTTGCCACTCTGTTTGGTTCAAATTTTTGTTTGAAAGCATGTCATTGAAGTCCCAGAAAACATTTGTGATGCTCAGCTTCTTATTGGGACCGTGAAGGCGCACCTTTTGGTGTATGTTTCACTACTTCATGCATGTCAAATGCATCCAGAAAGTTAAGATATCTTACCCCTGTGCTGAAAAGGACAACAGTGATGGTACTCGTGATCATTACTGCATTACCACGTAACTGAGTATGACCTCCTCTGGTAAACTGCAAGCATAAAATTAAGTAATCAGTCAGAAAATTGTCCTAATACTATATGCAACGTGAAAAGAGAACCACCAAATTTGATACCAGAGTGATATCAGATGCTAGTATTCTACCTGATTATAAGCCAGAGCCACCGAAACAGCACCTCGCATAAGTCCAGCCCACCATATTACAATCTGCAAAATCAGCAAAGGGATAAAATGAGAGGCCATATGACTTGAGGGGCTTAGCGTAACTAAAAGTTATTAACACATACTTGCTTGTTAAAGCCAATCTTCTCCTCTGGAGACTTCTTGGTCAAGTTGGACAAAAATGACAAGGGGAAAACAAAGGCTGCCCTTCCAACCATAACAAGACCCAACAGTATTGAGCTAACCTGAACTGATATTCCAGGGCTGCAAATAAATTGAAAAACAAAAACAAAAACAACCATCAATCATGTTTAAAACTTTTGCCACTTACATATAATCAATAGTATATGATGAACTTCAATGACATAGAAACTTCACCTGTCGCTTACAAATTTCCACTTCTCAATGTCCAAAGCATCCATACCAACATAAAGGAATATGAATATCTCAGCAATAAATGACAATGTAGCAAAAGCGTGCCTGGGAAACAGTTGAAAAGAATATGTTAGAATTCAACCATCTTATGCAAAAAGAGGAGCAATTGAATACACTCCAGCAATATGGTTCTAAAAGTTGTATGACATACTTGGTGGTCACTCTTGAGCTCTCAGTCACATTATGCCAGGTGTAGTGAGACATCACGATCCCACAGAAAAACACAGTGAGGATTGCACTTAAATAGAATAACTGCAATCAACATAGCTTCAGACTTTCAGTATACTATATAACTATATCTAAAAATAAACATCTCCAAGAAAGGAAGTGATTCGATTTTGTTATAGAAAGAGAAAAAGGTTAGCAAGCCACTTAGTCAAGAAACTTACTTCAGCAAGCAGGTATGATAGATAAGCCATGAGTATCATTATAGCAACCTCACGATCTGTGGAGTGCCTGGAGTTCATCAAGAAGTCATCAAAGCCCATTATGAGAAGACAATATCTTTCCCGTCTCTCATGTAAGCTTAAAATTGTGCAATATAACAGAACACAAATTTCTAAGAAGGCAACGGTAGCCAGTTCTCTTGACTAGTCTTTCCCACAAGCCCCAGTTACCAACTTCAGGACAAATATGTATATCCAAGTATTTGCCAATTGCAACTACCTAGCAAGAGCATACAAAGGGAATGTTTATTTGTAAAGATAAATACACACGAACCTTCCAAAGTAGAGTTTTTTAATTATATAGGCGCTCAGTAGACCAGACTGCACCAGGGAAATAATCAAATATCAGTCTTGTGTCAATAGTGCAACGCATGTGCACACGAAACCAAATATAAGGACGCACAAGCATGAGAGAGAGAGAGAGAGAGAGAGACTCACAACAACCCCTAAGATGGTGCTTGAAGCAAACAAGTACAGAAAGTTTCCAACTAATTGCAGAGCTTTGCTTGTGCTGATATGAGATAAGTCAAAGTTCTGGACAGCATTGAACAGAACCACAGATGTGGCATCGTTCACAACACCTTCCCCGAACACTAGACTGTACAATAAGGGAGTGTCATCCTGACTAAGCACCTACACATTTCCAAATAAAAAATGGCTGATTAGTTAGAGTGCCAGCAAGTTTGACCAGCCTACAATGCTACAACTTAATAGTTTTTTTATTGGGTAAGTACGACTTATACTTACTTGTAAGGTGCAAACAGAATCCGTTGCAGAGAAGATTGCTCCAATTGCTGGAAAGGAAAAGAGATAGATGAGAGACAAGCAGAGAAGTTATCAATCACAATTGTGAAAAAAAATAACATAGAGGAAAAAGCAAGAAGTACCAAGGTAATCTCCAATATCAAGGTCTCCAATGTTCATTTTCTTGAAAATGCCAATGGCACCTGATCATGAAAATAGACATTATTAGTAATGGCTGAATCATTAGTGTAAAAAGTTCTATGAAACTTCCTACATTGGGAAATAAAAAACGGAAGATGGAAAGGATAGAAATACACACCAAATGATATGATAATGAATGATATCAAGGTGCCAACTGCTCCAAAAAGCATGATAGTGCTGAAATTGCGGAAGAATGATTTCTTTTTCACCTGGAACCTGAGGAAAAGAATAACATGGAGAAAATTAACTCATCGCGATACTTCTGAACAATTTAAAACCTAGTCAAATTAAACAAATATCACATGCTAGTATGCTACTGAGTAGCTTGCCTTTTAAAAGGTCAATGAGTTCACAAGACCACAAGAACTTCAACATCGTAATGAAAGAAGCATTAGGTTTTCGGTATGACTGAAGCCATTTTTAATGGAAAATATTTTCCTAAAAACTGTTTTCCAATTAGTATATTTTCTGGAAAGTGTTCTTTGGTGTTTAGTTGGTGGTGCAAAATAGCTTTCGTCAAAAATATATATTCAATATTAATATTAGCAAATTCGAGAGTGTTTTGATGAAACTCTTGAGTACTAAATATCAGTAACAATGTCGAAGTGTTACTTTAAGCAAGTAATATGAAGTTATAAATTGAGATGGTTCTATGGAAAATGATTTCCGCCTATCATTTCTGGCAACCAAACACTAGAAAATAACTTCCTCGTAAGCATTTTCCTCGAAAAGGATTTCTGTCATACTAGACAAAAGCTTAAAATCAGTTGATTAGAGCTCAGAAATTTGCTAGGTAAAATTTCCTGAACTGATAGAAAACCTGACAAGCTCTAAGAACCAACCCTATTATAGGAAAGAAAACCTTCAATTAAGAAGTTAGTAAGCTCCACATGAAAACCTATGAATGGCTTAAGAAGTTCAGATATCAAACATCTGGAACCAAGAAAGTTAGCATTTTAGCAACTAGTTATTGATTCAACCAGCTCTTTCTTTTTATCAGAAACAAACAGCTGACTTTATCCCAGAAACAGAAGAATTTCTAGCTCTTTTATCTGATAGAGATGGAAAAATAAACCAATAAGACATAACTGAAAATGTACATCAAGCAATGCTAAAAGGTACAGCATTTTGGACCCTAAGCTTTTAACGAAAATGCATTAGTTATATCCAAGCAGTCTTTAAGAAGTTATTGTCGTTCATTGTAATCGCTGTAGAAACATTATAATAGACTGCACAAGTAACATCTTGTTCTCAGGAAAGGTCAAACACTTTTAAATGCAAAACCTACCCAGCATTAAAAATGATCGGCGGAAGAAGGTAAATGAAGAAAAGATCTTCGCTGAACACTAAAATACGAGAGTTCTTTCCACCACTTATTAGTAGAATGACAACTCCAGTGCAAAGACCCTGTCATCCAAAGGTGAAGCCACAAACACATATACTAAGATCAGTTTATGTTCAATCACAGAAAAGCTTTCCAGCACAAAAAAAAAAAATTGATATTAACAAAAGATGAACTCACAATCACGAGGGCAGTTATGGACTCATTCATCCATCTATTTTCCTCCAACAAATGACCGACCACGATACACGCGCAGATAAGTGCAACAAATAAGTTTATTGACACCACCGATTGATGATCAGAAGTTGATAACCTGTTCATAATATTTCCCAGCAGCATCCCAACGTCGAAAGCCATTTTCGAAGGAATTCAATTCACCAGAATACTTGTGAAAATTTTCACAATCTATAAGTTTTCCTCTTTTTAATCAACTGAACTTCCAAGCTACAATCTTTGACAACCTTACATTAAAATAGACCTCTCCCTGCTCCAAACCAATAACGCAATTATTCTCAGATCACAAAATTAACAAATTTTCAACAACAAAAAAAAAATTAAAAATACTTCAAATATACATATAATATAGAAGCATAAAAATCCAGCTAAGACATTTACGTGCTTACATAGGCGCGTGGTAAAGAAAAAAAATAGAAAAGTGAGAAAGTCACAAGCCAAGATCAACACTAGCCACATGAATTAAACTCTACAAACTCCTGCATATATTCCTTTTTTTTTTTTTTCATTTTAAACAACCATTTGTAGTATATAAGCAACGCACATATCATAAACTAAAAACAACAAAAATCAAAACAAAAAATCAAAAAATCAAATAAAAATGAATGAAGATATTAAAACTTTACCGAACAAAATTGCAGTCAGAACGGCGTCGAATTGAGCTTAGAGAAACACTGAAAATTCAAATTTAATCAGATCTCAGATTATGTTTTAGCAAAAACTCAAACTGCTGCAGATTCTTCAGCAACAGCGTTTTTGCTAAAAAAAACACAATATTTTCTCCCACTTTTTGTTCGCTAAAACTCGAATTACAGAAAAGGAAATGAAGCGCACACAAATGAAATCACAGTTCGAAAACTTTTAAAAACCAAAGGCGCAATTCAGCACCAAATTCTCGCGCTCCAATAATTAAACAATTTAACGCTTGAGAAAATGAAGAACAAAAACAAAGCGAAATTTACAACCAATTCGAAAACTGACAAAGGAAAGTTCGAGAAAGAAATTTGATAAAGGGATCAGAAAGGAGAGGATTGATTCGAGCGATAAAAGGACAGATGAAATGAAATTAGAAGGCAAATTTATAGTTTGGGTGTAATCACAGATAGAGACTGGTCTTTAAAAACACGTTAGACTCATATTCACCGTTGATTGTGATGACCTGGCTAGATTTGAGACTATTTTGTCAGTTAATCTGAGCTTCATTTGTCCAAGTAAAATTGGCAATTACCTAACGAAGAGATCAACATTAAAACATAGTATCATATTTTTTTTTTATATTTGAAAAAATTAATTTTAATTTTTTTATTTTAATCGTAATGATTTATAACCACTAAAATCTCATAATTAAATTTACAAAAATAAATTTCTATTGAAAATTATGTTTTTCTTCTCTAACTCTTATTGATATAAAATATCTTCCAATTCAGCATACGTAGTATTACTACGTTTCTTCATTCAGGATAATTTAAAAACAAGTTATGTATACTATCTGTATAGGTCGGTCTGATTGATTTTCCTCTTTTTGTGTGCTCTATATTGGTCATAAATTTAAATTCAATGTCTTTTTAGATTCTGGTGCATAATTGTAATTTTTTAAAGAAGAATTAACTCAAATAGCACATCCAACTGCTTAAACTAAAAATAGTCAGTGAATATTTAATATATATATATAATTTCTATATTATATATGTATAATTATATATAATTAATATATGATATATGTATATGATTAAAAAAGTAAACAATAAATATTGCTGGCTATTTGTGTAAAGATCTTTTTTTTAAAATCATTTTTCTCTTAATTTTGTGAGGGGAAAAGGTTAAAAAGGTAAAGAACATAAAAGAGTTCGTGCAAAGACAGTTCAGTAACTAATATATATACGTACATTTTTTTCTTTAGAAAGTTGTACTTTACAGTAATTAATTAACTAAATATAAAAAGAAGGCCAAAAAGAAGTTAAAATAAAAGGAAACGGCTATTATTTAAATGGAGAAGAGGAAGAGGGAGAAGGGGACCCACTATCGCGATGATTGTGTCCTTTCGAATCTTAGGCTGTATGTATTACTGGAAGTTTCACCTTCCCGTTAATTAATGCACCTTTTCACTTTTACCTCTCTTTTTCACGTTTATTTTGTTTTAGCCTGTTTGGAAAGTCACTTTGGAAATAGATTTGGGTGTAATTGAATGTAATTATACAGTTTGACATGTTTGTTTAGCCAAGTAATTACTTGGTCATCATGAAATTGGGTGTAATTGGAGGGGTTGTAATTACACTCTCCAATTCTCAAGGAGGAGGTGAGAATTGGTGGTAATTACATTGTGTAATTACAAGATTGCTTTTTAGTTTCTTTCCTTTTTGTTTTTATTTTAATTTATTTTCTTTATAACTTTTTATTAGTATTATTTTAATTTTTTAATTTTATTTTTACTTTTTAATTTTTTTTTTAAATTTTGAAATATATTTTTCTTTGTACATTATTTATCTTTTATTTCTCTATCTTAACTCTTTGTGATTCCATGTAATTGCTTATATTATATTTTTTTTATTTTCTTATTCTATTTTTTGAAACTACACCTCCTAATATTAGAAATAACGAGTTATTAATAAACTTGGCATATAATGAGTGATGCACGTAAAGTGAAATTTCGTTATTGAATGTGGTTAGAAATTTACCATGTTTCCTAATCTTAAGTTGCAGTGGGACTTACTATTATTATGTTGGAATTTGACATATGTTATACTATTTTATTTTTTGAATTTTGAAATTGTGTTATATTCATGGTTCCAATTTACTTGTTTTAGTAGTATTGACTCATATTGCATGTTGTTCATTTTTTAGTTAGAATATTAGTTTTGTCAAACATTTGAATAATGTTATGAAACTATATTTATAAATATTAATTTATTTTATCAAACATGAATTCCATGATGTTCTTATAAAACGTATATTTTTAATTTTTGTAAGTATCTAAACTAAATATTATTAATTTTAAAAATATACTATACAAATTATTTTTATAATATTAGTTATAAATATATGATTACTAATTAATGTATATCCACGAAAAAATATACATTTAAATACCAAATATAATATTATTTATAGGCATACATTTATTATATTAATTTTTTAGTTTAATAATTACTTAATTTAAAATTTAATTTAACTGTATAATTACACTTGTGCAACCAAACAGTAAACTTGTAATTACATGTAATTACACTATGACAAACAAACAGGTCATCGTAATTGCACAACTGTGTAATTACTAGGCTGTGTAATTACTACCCTAGTAATTGTACCAATTCAATTACTCCCTCCGGTCCAAAATAAGTAATTTTTTGGCCTTTTTCTTGTGGTCCAAATAAGTGATTTTTTCAGATTTCAAGAATGAATTAATTTTTTTTTGCCTACATTATCCTTGGAGTAAATAGTGTTGGAATATGTGTTAGGAGTGTTTATGTGAGATAGTAAAGGTTAATATGGTCAATTTCATTGCTAATTAATGCTAAAAGGTGAATTTCTTAATCTGTGTGAAAACATCCAAAAAATCACTTATTTTGGACCGGAGGGAGTACATGGTTACTTTCCAAACAGACTCTAAGTGAAAAACATTAATCCTAGATGATTTGGAGCTTTAAATATCTTTCGAGACAGTTATTTAAATTCAATTAATAAAGATATTTACTACATTTGCTGACTTGATTGCTTAGATGGTCACTTAATTTGGGAGAACTGGCCATCAAATTACTCCTTCCGGTTCAAATAAGTGATCAGTTTCCTTTTAGCACGCCCATTAAGAAAATGCTAAATCCTATACAAAAATACCTAGTACGACTAAACTACCCTTATTAAATATTGGTCACTAGTTATAGTGAGGAGTGAGAAAACTTTTTAGGGATATGCACATAAGGGTAAAAGAGTAAAAACAAATTGAATTTTTTCTTGATTGCATAACTGGACACTTATTTTGAACCAAAATGAAAAAGTAAACTGGTCACTTATTGTGAACCGTAGGGAGTAAGAATTACTTTAATTTACCTAAATAACTCCAATATAATTGTCATTTGTATAGAATTTTGTATTTTCAGTGAGATTTAATAACCTGACAAATTTAATTTAAAAATAATAGTTAAATACTAATTACGAATATAGATCAATTTAGAATCAACCCAACCCTAAATCGACACGATACATGACCCGACCCATGCCCTTTTTAAACTTGTCACATTATTAAATTGCATTAAAAAGATACAAAATTCAATAAAGATATCTATTGAAACCAATTATGTAAGGTAAAATGACTTTTAAAGAAAAAAATAGATAACTTTAATGGCTAATTACCCAAATTTGAGTGACAATCTAAGCAATTAACTCTACTTTTACTGTGCTTATACTTTACAATAAAATGTTTGGCTTGTCGGAGAATAACTTTGTTATGACAAAAGTTATTATGTAGAAAAATTCAAATTATTTACTCCATCATTAAAGTGTAAGTTAAGGGTTTTCAAGACTATAACACATTTATGTTTGATTTTTTTTTTTCACATTAAATATCTACAAATTGATATTATCTACTAAACTTTTTAAGGTTATTTAGTTGTTGTTTCATCATATATGAATCAATAATTCTTTGTTGATCTTCGATTCCAATAAATATTTTTAAATCTTAACGAAACTATATGTTATCTAAATCACGGCATAACATGTGGTTTTCATAAAATGATCCCATGTTCATTCAATAATTGCATGTAATTGTTCAAATTAGGTAACTTGATCTGAAATTTTGTTAGTCAAATTATGGATTATGAACAACCACATGTTGGCTAATGGCTATCCAAACGAAGATCCTTACGCTTGTGATAAAAAAACGAATTGAATTTTACAAAAATGAGTGACTAAAAGAAGCAAACAAATGTGATTTTAACACATCTACATTATTAGTAAGGAATAAGTTCTTTTCTTTTTTCTTAATAATTGAACTTTCAAATATATAAGCACAACTTCTTCTCTCATTTCACATGATAATCAGATCTACACAAGGTTGGATAATAGAGGGCCACTACATGCCCTCTTGTCCATGTCTTTTTTTTTTTTTTTTTTGTATTTTTCTTATTTCCATATTAAAAGTTTTTTTTTCTATGGTTTTAAATTTTTTGGAAATTAACTGCAAAAATACAAAATAGAATCCAAAATTGCCAGTTGTCCCGACAACACTAGATGTTTGACAGATCTTAATGCACCTTCTAATTTTTGTTTGGTAGTAGGACAGCAATTTTCTGTGTCAGAAGAATAATATATAAGTCTCCAACCGCTAAAACAGTAAAATTCTTAATTAAGACCAGTTATATTGCTTTTTTGGATTACGTTGTAAAAAGCTACTACTACTTTATAAGTGGGGTTAGAATATTCCACTGTCCCTTTTGTTTACAGTCAAATAAAAGATCATTTCTTCTTGAACTATTATTCATCAGCAGAATTAGCAAAGATCCGTAGTTAACTAAAGTTTTATGTTCTATGTATTGGTCTAAATTTGGGCGGCTTGATAACTGTATATAAACAGGGTCGAGGACGAGGTCGACTACGGCATAATAACGAGAAGTCATCTTTAGAAGGATTATAGCTAAGGACGAGCAAATGAAGTAAATAAGTAACGGTAGGATAGATTTAGAAGTAGTTATAAGGAATATTGTACTTTCGAGGGTTTCTTGGGGATATCCCTTATAAATAGGAAGAGATAGAGAACAAAAAGGGATCTTCACTTCTTGATAAGAGCATTTTGTAAATAGTTGACTTGAGAGAATATACAAACATTGTCTTGTTCACTGACTCTATAGCTTTTACTCGCATTATTCATTCCTTGTCCTCAAGATTCAGGGATCCCTTATCCATCTACATTTATCTTAGTTCCACGTTGCTGTTAGGAAGGAGAATCACCCAAACCGTCTAACATTTGAGTGATAAATTTCTCTTTATTACATTTATTGCTATTGTCTACATTTATTGCATGTTCTTATTACAATATTCATTAATAAACGTTGTACACGTGCCTGTTCTTGTTATTCTTAA